CATGGACCAGAGCATGCCAGGCCCTCCTGTCTTCCACTGCCTCTCAGAGTTGGGTCAAATTCATGTTGGTAGCTTCGATGATACCATCCATCCATCTTATCCTTTGTCGTACCCTTCTTCTCTTGCCTTCACACTTCCCCAACATCAGGGTCTTTTCCAGGGAGTCTTCTCTTCTCATGAGATGGCCAAAGTATTGGAGCCTCAACTTCAGGATCTGTCCTTCCAGTGAGCACTCAGGGTTGATTTCCTTCAAAATAGATAGGTTGCAGTCCAGGGGACTCTCAAGAGTCTCCTCCAGCACCACAATTCAAAAGCATCAATTCTTTGGTGGTCAGGCTTCTTTATGGTCCAGCTCTCACTTCCATGCATCGCTACTGGAAAAACCATAACTTTGACTATGCGGACCTTTGTTGGCAAGGTGATGACTCTGCTTTTTAAGATGCTGTCTAGGTTTCTCATCGCTTTCCTCCCAAGAAGCAGGCGTCTTTTAATTTCATGGCTGCTGTCACCATCTGCAGTGATCATGGAGCCCAAGAAAGTAAAATCTGTCACTGCCTCCATATCTTCCTCTGTCCCACATATAGGTTTCTCAGGAGATAGATAAGGTGGTCAGACACTCCCATTTCTTTAAGAACTTGCCATTGTTTATTGTGATCACCACAGTCAAAGGCTTTTGCGTAGTGAAGGAGTCTTGTAGTTAGTGGTAATTCTAATATTTGTATAATAATTATACAGACATTGTAAATGGATAACACTGTACATAAGCCCTTTTTCTTTCTACATTAATAAAAAGTCACGCAAAATTGCTCCCTGTGTTTGCATGTGTGTGAGTGTGTGCGCGCACATGTGTCTATTTTGGGATGTGTTGAATGCATGGTCTCTGCTGTAACACTAGAACCACCCTGTGGAAACTTAAGTTACTAAAATAAATCACTGAAATTCAATATCTAGGAATACTTGTGGAACAGGGCGTTCATTGTCGAACACAAATATTCTGACTGTGAGCAGCAAGACTCCAGCTTGCTGCACTGCAATTTCACTTGCTTTCAGTAATTACTGGTGTGAAAAGGGAAGGAATACGATTGCAAATTGAGCTTTTGCTGCATTTTTTGGCTGCCCCACACAACACCATTTCTCAACAGAGTGATATCTCCTTGTAACACAAGTTTACCATTACATCAGTGTGAAGGGTTTTGCAGTTGCACCACAATTAAGAAACTTTACTCCCCTATCTACCTACAACTGGGATGTAGACATTTCCCTACTTCTTTTTATAAGTGTACTCTTTACTAACATTCCTTGCAACAACCAGGTTACATTTGGGGTCAAACTAGATAAGATAATAATCCTGTGTTGAGAAATAATGCACCCTCAAGTGGCCCAAAATGTCTACTTGTAATAGCACATTCACAACATAAGTATGAGTGAACACTGAAATGTAAAGATCAGTGGCCTATGCAGGTCTGAGGTGTGTATAATAAAAGGAAATCATTTGAACAGAACGACAAGACTATATGAGTGGATAGAGCAACAGACTAGGATTAAATTATCAATTGAATTTATAAACCACCCCGAGTGGCCTTTGGTTAGATAGGCGGTAATAAATAAATAAATAAATAAATAAATACATACATACATACATACATACGTACATACATACATACATACAGTGGTGTCTCGTATTACATTAATTCGTTCCAGTGAAATCGCTGTAGAATGAAAATGTCGTAATGCGAAAATAAAAAGCCAATTGAAACGCATTGAAACCCCTTCAATGCGTTCCAATGGGCTGGAAACTCACCGTCCAGGGCAGATCCTCCATAGGGTGGCCATTTTTGGTGGCTGTCTTGCAAGGAATCCGTCCCAGAAAACAGCGGGGAGCCATTTTATTTACCCGGTGGCCATTTTGAAACCGCCAATCAGCTGTTGGAAAATCGTCGTTTTGCGAAGAATCAGTTCCCGAAGCAGCGAACCGATCATCGTAAAATGAAAAAACCCTATTCAGACCATTGTTTTGCGATTGCAAAATGTTGTTGTAATGCGGTTTCATCGTAATGTGGGGCAATCGTAAAGCGGGGCATGACTGTAAATAAATAAATAAATACAGAAAGGAAGGAAGGAAGGAAGGAAGGAAGGAAGGAAGGAAGGAAGGAAGGGGACCAGGGTTAAATCGTCAGTCAGCGATAGAAACTCACAGCGGAGGAGGTACAACTGGTAAAACAACTCCTTAAATATCTCACCATGAAAGCCTTATTAGAATTGCTATCTTGTACCCTACTATCCACCAACAATGGGATTCCCAGTGTGAAGTAACAGTCAGTGTAACAGACGAGGACTCTGGAGAACAGGATTCAAATCCCCACTTGGCCGTGAAAACGCACTGTGAGGGGGCTGGAACTGGTAAAACCACTCCTTAAATATCTGACTTACCTTGAAAGCCCTCTTAGGGTCGCTATAAGTTAGTTTTGACTTGACAGTGCATATGTGCATATGCATGCACACACATACACACACACACACCTACACCACCACTGGATGATCCTTGGAATCCTGGCCTGTTTTCGTAATCACATTACATTTATTGCTAAATAAGTTTGTGCTGACAAACACTAACCTAGGAATGCACACTCAACAGATATCGTGTCCCGGCTTCCTATGTGAGTTACAGCATGTGTCTTTCCCTCCTTCTTGTTCATGTGCCAGAGGGGAAAAGCAGAAGCATGTACTTCTTTGGAACAAAGCAAGGTTTCCAATGTCCAGCTGTGAGGAACTTGTGAATTCAGAACAAGTTACAATTTGAAGTCATAGTTTTATTCCACACTGTCTTCAGTTTAAATAAAGCACAGTTCTGCAAGTTCAGCTGTCATAAGGAAAAACAGTCAATTTAAAATTCGAAGTGGAAGCTTCCAGTCTTCTTGTGGCCATGACAGATAAGAAGGAAGTACGAGCCCAAGAAACGTTGTGGCTTGTTCACAAAGTGGGAAAGCATACTTTCTCCAGTACTCTATGCATTTCATTTGGCTCAAGCTCACCAAATTGCTCTGATGTAGATCAGGCTTGGATCAAATTGGAATGGCCAGATATGATTACAAAGTGAGGCAAATTTACAAAGTTATTCAGGTCTGGAGCATAAACTGAAGTGGACAAATGCGGCACTTCTTTTTTTCTATATATCTCTTTTTATTATTTTTATTATTTTAAAAGTCTGTCCGTGCTTCTTCAACATCATGTCCCCTGGGTTCTGCTTATAGTCATTTGGTAATACAACTACAATACATATTAAGTTCTTAATCTATACAACGTGCTTCTAGCCATTGATGAAACAGATTCTAAGTTTGATAGTATTATGAATCTTCCTTCCCTTTGATCTTTAACATCAGTCTGTCCATTTCTGCATAGTCCAGTATCTTTTTAATTATTTCTTCATCTAGAGGTGTTTCTTCATTTTTCCAGTACTGTACATATATAATCCTTGCGGCTGTTAGAATATGCAGCATTAAATATACATTTTGTTTATCAACATTTTCTGGTATTATACCTAATAGAAAGAATTCTGCCTTAAAATCTACATGTTTTTTGATTATTTTAACAAGTCTTATATATATATTTTATTCAAAACATTTTTGCTTTATCACATGTCCACCAAAGGTGATAGTAAGTTCCAGTTTTTTATGACATTTCCAGCATTTACTTGACCAAGTGGCACTTCTTCTGGTTGTTAAAGCACACACAGTTTAAGGGTTACCTGTCTGAAATTCAGGTTCACTTCCTACTTTAGAGATATCAGACAAAACAAAAGAAAAATAAAAAATAAAGAAAGACAAAATAAAAAATAAAGTGGCACTTTAAAGACTTAACTGCTATATTTTAATGTGAGTTATTGTGGACAAGTCACTCTCTAAGACTTCCTACTTTAAGAGTCTATAATGTCTCCAAATTTCTTATGAAGCAGTGCACATTGGTACAATGCACATCAGCTTGCATGCACATACACACGTACACACACAAATGATTATAGCTGTTCTGTATTTTCAGTGGTTAATAGGCTTTACAAATTACCGTATTTTTCGCACCATAAGACTCACTTTTTCCCCACAAAACAGGGGGGTAGAAAGTCTGTGCGTCTTATGGAGCGAAGAAAATAGATTATATTTTCCTGTTTTCTTCTCCTAAAAAATTGGTGCGTCTTATGGAAAGGTGCATCTTATGGAGCGAAAAATACGGTAAGTCGGATCTATTGCACAAATCGACTTGGATGGGCACAAATGGCTCTGAAGCAACCTGGAATTCATTCCAAAGAACAAATCAAATGGGAAAAACCTGTGCACAGGCCTGATTCCTAGTTAGCTCGGAATGGGGAGATAATATGCCAAAGTGTCTTGAAGGGTACATGCAACCCAGGGTTCATTTCAAATCAATATGGCCATTGACATCCTCCTATAGTAAGAGAACAGTCTTCTCAAAATCTCCGGATTGCTCAGTATTATCTAGGTACTTTCTGAATATAGCTGCATTTTCAGACAGTTCACCAGCTCCTTGATACCTCTAAGTTCACACCTTATAGTACAGCATCTGACTTCAGTATTTTGTATTTCTTTGTAACACTGCGCAATCAAAACAACGGTCTCTGAAGTATAAGTTTCACATTGAAGTCTGAGTGAGAAAACTGTAAATGTCAGTTCATTTGAGGTACTTAATATTTGTGATTTTAATTTAATCAAAATGCATCAGAAGTCATGCAGTCACAAGAAACCCAGTGATAAACAACCATTTTGGAAATGGAATCAGGAGAAAAACACACCTTAACAGAAGATCATGAATGGATAGTCATCACCTCATAGTCAATGCATGCTACTTTTAAAAGACAGCAAAATCCTAGTAGGGCATTAATGAATCCAGTTTCCCGATACACTTAAAAGGGAGAGCTAAGCAACACCCCCTCCATTGCCAGATTCTTTCTGTGATCAACAATAGATCTGAGGAGTTTCCTACTTGTGTTTAAAGTCTGCATGTAAGCCAGAACTGCAATTCTGCAACACTCCTGCTTGTGTGTAGGCTGTACATGAAAGCAGGAACCTCTCCTCTTCAGAGCCATGGTTACTCAAACGGAAAAAATGTCAAGGGAGGAGACAGGATTAAGTGCTCCCCTCTAAGCATGCGGATGAACCTAGATTCACTGATGCTGGAATATAGCTTATTTGTGTGCCTTTATATGATTGTTAGCTATATGATTTGGGAGGCTTTGTTCTAGTGCAGCTGCAGCCTTATGTCATGAGTTCTTTGAGGCACAGCATCTCTCTTTACAAATGTAAAGAATAAAAGTATTATTTATGACTGCATACCATTATCAGATTACCATTAACTTAAATGAGTACATTAATTAAAATGGGGCTAGGCCCCATATGCCCAACAGTGCTTTCTATAAACAAAAACAAATTAAAGAGGAATGCAAAATTCAAGTGGAGAGCGAGCTAGTCATGCATAGCATGGGTGTGGAGAAACAGTAAATTTAAAATGTTTTTGCAGCCCATCACACAGCAGAATAGGAAAGCTCTTTTCTTATTAAAACTCACAGCTTGCATGTTCTGCAAGATGATAGTCTGTAGTAGGAGACATGAAAACAGGCACTACAATTGGACAGCTGCTTCTCTTTCTGCCTAGGCTTTGGCTGTGTAGGAATACAGTCATGCAAATTGTGGGAGCATGACAATATGGAATTTGGGGACATGGTACAAAATCCTTTCTGATATGATATTGAAAGCGACGTTGAGATTCGAAGCCAAAAGCCAATCCAGTAGTTTTATAAATAAGGATCTTTATTTAGAATACTGTTGAAAACATTCTCAGCATCCACATTGTATAAATATATAAAGTTAAAAGTTTGGCACAACAAACCAAGCAACATTAAATACATACATTTTTGTTGTTGTTTTGATGGAATTCCTTTTTTTTTTTTTTTTTGGCAAAGCAACTCTTATTTACACGTATACAAAATAAGTATTTTTCTAAAAAATGGTCCACAACCTTTTCTGCAAAAATGTGGATGGCTATATTTCTGAAGGGAATTGCAAAGAAAGTTTACAATCCTGAACAACTGGGCTGCTGAAACTGCACTAGAATTAAACGGGAGTAAGCAGTCTGTATGAATGATTGCCAGAAGAGGATCTACAAAGACTCTCCCAAGAAAGGTTTCCTCTTTTGAAAGCAAGGATTAATCATTGGCCATTTCATGGTACACAATTCTAAATCTCCTCTATATACAAATTAAATAGCTTTTGTTTACAACCAATAAATAAGTGTATTTTGATGTAGTACAAGCTTGGAAGACAATATATATTTGAAAGGAATTATTAGATACATTTGAAAACGTAAAAAAAAACTCACAGGGATTGTCTCTTTCAGTGTTTGGAAAGCAGATTTAAGTATTACTTGATGGCTAAAGTGGGGAGCATCCGCAATGCTGCAGCTTGCGTTTGCTGGGCGTTTATAGCACTTGGTAGATAGGGTTGTTAGCGCTGTTGTTGGTAGCGTCCTGAGGGAGTGGAGTGCAGCTAGCTGGAGAGGAGATTTGTGCTGCAGTGTCGTTCAGGCTGGCCCCATCATGGAGGGAACAGGGGCTCCCCGCCGTTCCACTTTCAACTGCAGGCAAGGTAGGGCAGGCTGTGCTGTCAGTTGAAATCCTCTCCACAATGCTCGACAAACAATCTAGGCTGGAAACAACGGAACTCTTCCCTTGCTTTGAATCTGAAAGACAAGGAGAACAGTGGACTAAGAAAGTTAGTTACACCGAAGAGGATTGGGTGTGTGTTTGTTTGGGATGTGTGTGTTTTCTGTTTTGTTTGTTTGTTTGTTGGGTAGGACTTTGATATGCAGTCACAATCACACCTAACAGCAAAGTCCTACACATGCCCAGTATGAGATTAAATTATGTTGGGTTAAACAGGATTTACTGCCCCTACCCCCCATTAATTATTTGTTGGATGGAAATCTGAGCTGGCCTCATACAATTTTGAGAGGAGAGTCAGATGAACTGTGAATAAAAACTCCACAGTGGCCTGGGAGAGGAAAAAAATCAGCCAAATAATTTTGTAAAGTTTAAACCCACGGTGAAGAATAGCACCAACAACTGGTTTTGATCAGGTTTTTAAAATTCATTTTTATAGACAAATTACACACCCCACAACAAAATTCTGATGTACAGTTAAAACAGTACAGAATCAAATATCTAACAAATCAAAGAGGATAAACTCACAACTGGCAATATGAAGGATAAGAAGATCGATACAGAGATTTAAAATGACCTGTTAAGTATGTCTCTCTTTAAGGTGGTCATAGGACCATAAAAAAACAATAATTAATTTTAATTACAACTTAAAAATAAAAATGCACAGTGTTTCGGGGGGAGGGGAAATGAACCCATTAAAATAATAAATATCTAATACTGGCCAAAATCTTCTTGCCCAATCTACAGTTGAGAGGAAATCACCTAAGTCTTGGCAGCAAATTGCCATTTATTAATGAAGTGTCCAACCGTGTGACTGCATATATGCCCAGGAACTCAATCAGTATCTTGTTAGTGAGTGGCAATCTGCTGCCAAGACTGATGTGATTTCCTTTCTACAAGTGCAGAGGTTGGTAATAGGTTTCTAACCAATAACTACAATGCATTAGATATGAAACCTTTATTTGAGCACACTTCGCTATGGATTACCAAGGACACAAAGTATGAAAGTGTATGTGGGCTCTGTTCAGCAGTCTTACCCTAGAATAATCTTTTATTTCTTCCAAGGCAGACACTTACCACTTAGAGTTTCTGTATAGTAGCTGCTGTCATAGCTGCTCCTTCTGCGGGAACTGCAAGGGGGTCCACTGTAATCCAACTAGAAACAAAATCCAGTAATGTAAAACATTAGATCAGAAACATGATCAGGCTAGCCAGGTGTACACGTGTGTATGTAGGTGTTTAAGCCTGCACACCTGTCATTTCATTTCACACACCTACTACAGGAAACACAAGTATAGCCATTTAGCCTGTTAATTGTCAAGGTAATCCAAACCACTCTAAACATGTGGTGGTCCTTTGATCTCTTTGTTGATATGTGGTCCTTTAAATAATCATATAATACCTCACACATTTGCAACAATTTTGACTTTTTTATTCCCTCTGCTAAGGCCTATTGGCAATGAATGTGCATTCTTCACTGTATTTTGATGCCACACTCAACAGCTCTACAAATTCCTATTATAATTTTTCATTCACACAGCAGATAGTAACAAGAAGCCATTTAGGCAGATTATTCAGAAACTGGAATCATCCAGTCTACTTACAAAACATCATGACTGTGATGGACTCTGAAAGTATGTCTCTTAGGTGTGAACCCATACACTCACAGAGATGGTAATACATTTTTGGACTATGACTCCCTTGATCCCACAGCCCATTCTAGTGACAGGATCCTTAAGAGTTATTATCCTAAAAAGTAGCTTTTTCTATTTCTATACCCAAGATACTTCAGCACATTTTAAAAGAAATGTGTTCATTTGCCCTGTTCCAAGCCTTCATCCAAGTGTGGAGCCCAATGAAATTACAGGTAATGGCTGGATAAATTTATTTCCAGAATAAATAAACCACCCCATCTCTAGTTTTAAAACATGGCCTGGGATTAAAATCTGGCCTTCTCTTCTGTTTCCTTCCCTGTCTCTGTCCCTAAAATGTAATGTAATGTATGCTCTGTGTCATAGATGTGCACATTGCTCATCTTTGGCTTCTCCTGCCTCCCACAGCTACTACAAGCACTATTTGTGAAGAGCAGGGGGGAAGATTGTGATGATATTTCACATTTTTCGCAACCTACATGTGAACCCATAAGCAAGTTCAAACATATTTATGAGTAATTGGTCTTTATCACCTGATTACTCATAAGTTTGTTCAAACCCACCCATAAGCACAAACATAGGTTGCAGAAAAAATATGGCATGTCACAGAATGAGGCTTCAATGCAATGGCCAAAATTCAATGTGAGATACAGTCACCATTGTCTTATATGTCACATTTGGTACAGTGAGTCACTCAGTACCCATTCCATCACAGTCCAAACATGTTTCACAGATCACAATATATTACAGGTCTTCTCAGAGATAAGCCTCATCATATTTGATCTTATTTAGGGCTATAACACTGTCCACACCTATGCTGGCAATATTTAAGCTGTGGAGCTGAGTAGACATATATACTCTATGATGATTTTATACAAACATGTTTTACTGGGCATGCTCTTCCAAGTACCAAAGCATCTACTTTGGACTGTCCCTTTTCTACAGGGCCAAATAAAATCAGGGTATAATATTAACTATGCTCTGCTTCCTCAGAAATACATCTTTACTGTGTACGGGTTTACTTCTGTGGAGGAGATGGGTAGGAAAGATTTAAACGGGCAAAGACCTGGAAGTTCAGCTCAATTTATTATATATCATGTTTCTAAGTATCCCAAAATCACAGGACAACTGAGTAAGAGATCTATAATTTCTTCCTCCAGGGATTGTCCTGCTTTGTCACCAAGGCACTTTGTCCTGGGAGGACAGAGAGAGCTGAACAGCAGAACAATGTTCTTGTTACTCTATGGCACCTAAGGAGCAGCATGCTTTGTATGACTACGCTAGATTACCGTCTGGTGGCTGCTACTCCTGTGATTTGCTGTTGGGTATATGTGCACATCTCTGTCTTTACGCTTTATTGTACTGATTTAGTCTTTTAACTATATGTCAACATAGGAACTCAAGAGGGTAGTTCATAAATTGTCCAAATAAATAAACAAATAAACATGGTGTTTTAGATAGTCTGATCCCAGACATGATGACTCAGATTACATCCCATTGAGTTCAATAGGGCTAATCTCTAAATAAGCATGGCAGTATTAGTTCAATTACAGCTGTAGAGAAAACAATTACATTTAGAACCCTCTACCTTACTGACAGTAATAGAGAGAGCTGTTTCCTCCATATATCTTATACAGTGAGAATTAATTTGAAGGAAAACCTCTCTCTCCTGTCCCAGGAACCAGCTGGAACAGCCAATAACCATGTACAGTATTAGAAGCAGAATAGAACTGCCTGTGCTCAAGGAAAAGAAAACACTCTCTCTGTTTTCCTTGGAACAAGGAACATTCCTTGGAATAGTAACAAGTGAGTTATCCTTACTCTCCCAGGGAATAAAAGTCGGAGGGCGGACCCTGCTTCTGGTGCTAAATGCAGCACTCACAGGCCAGGCCAGGGTACGCTGGCTCTTAAATATGCTCCAGAGTTTTCAGTGTTGTCTATTTCCAGAAAACTGTGCTCTGGCTGGCAGGCTTACTTTCTTTATAAACAGGCACTGGGACTAAAGTCTGCTAAGAAGTGCAGCCCTCTTGACCGGGAAGTCCCAATCACTGATCCAACTGGGGACTGTGATTACTCAACAGGGACAGAAGAGCACACGTTGCCCATTAGGTGTGATGAGTTTCACTTGCTGCTCTGTTTAGTCCTGAGGCTGAAAATGGCTCCTGGGGTTCATCTGACTCAAAAGGCACCAGGGAAGTCCTGCCCCTTGCCTTCCACATTTCAGAGGGAAATCCCATCCCAACTATGTAGGCTGCCTCCTCACTTATTTGTTACATTTCAATTCTGTCTTCCTGACAGTGAACTCAAGGCATGCCCCCCCCCCTTTAAAAAATCCTCATTACTATTCTGTGTGGGGAAGCTGGGGGGTTGTGTTCCCTTTTTAATTCTCACAAAAATCCTGTGGAGGAGTTCAGGCTCAGCGAGCCTGGGTTACCCAGTTAAGCTTCCTAGGTTACCTGAATCTCCAGCTCGCCTGTCCTACTGCTACACCCTGGCCTAAAGCGAATGGTGCTGCTCTGACCACTACACCTCTCTCTCTCTCTCTCTCTCTCTGTGTGTGTGTGTGTGTGTGTGTGTTTTCTCTCTTTCTCTCGGAGTTCAAGCACGACTCTCTAACCCAAACGACTAGGGATATTAAGAGACGGGCCCTTTCCCCGCACAGAAATGTCTGAGGGAGAGAATCAGGCCGCCTGCCTCCCTCTGGGGCGAGCTGTCAAAAGGCCCAGGAGGCCTCGGGCGTCTTCCTCGCGGTGGGTGGCGAGGCCGCCGTGCTCCTCCAACCCACCGTCCCCGCTTGGGCAGAGGTGCCGTGGCCGCCGCCGCCGCCGTACCCCCGAGGAGGAACCCCCCAACTCACCATGCCGTCGGAGCAGTTGGAGCGGGGGCTGGAGGCGTCGGACTCGCCGCTGTAGTGCTCGAGGACCGGGTAGTAGGCGTCCTCTTGCTCCCTCAGCAGGGCCTGGAGGCTCTCGATGTACCGGATGGCGTTGCGCAGGATCTCCACCTTGGGCAGGCGCTGGTTGGGGTTGGTGGAGGTGCAGCGCTTGAGCGTCTCGAAGGCCTCGTTGACCTTGCTGAGGCGCCGCCGCTCGCGCATGGTGGCGGCCTTGCGGCGGTCGGCGTTGGTGGTCTTCCGCTTGCAGGCCTTGCAGGCCCAGAGGAGGCAGCGCCCGGCCTGGTGGTGCCCGCTCGGCGCCCGGATGTGCTCGTCCTCGTGGCCGTGGCCGTGGCCGCCGCCGCCGTGCTCGTCGGCCTTGAGCAGGCCCCCCACGTGCACCAGGCGCGGGTCGAGGTCCTCGAAGAAGTGCATGTCCGACGTGTTGAAGCACGGGTCGTCGTAGAAGTCGTCGGCGGCCGCCGAGAAGGAGCAGAGCGAGCCGTCGGGGATCTCCATGTGGCCCAGCACGTCCATGGAGAGGGGAGTCGGGTCGGGCAGGGCCGGGTCGGGTCAGGAATGGATCGAGAGAGCGGCGGGCAGAAGCCCTAAAGAGAGAGAGAGAGAGGCTCGAGGGGGAGCTTCTGCTGGTGGCGGCGCAGCGGCGGCGGCGGTGCCGTCGGGCTCTCCCTCCAAAGCCAAGTCCAAGGTCACGGGCCTTCTTCCTTTTCCAAAGGGAAGGCGCTCAGGGAGAGGGACGCGTGTGCCGGCAGCCGGGCGGGGGGCTTCGTCCACTATAGGCTGTCGTCCCTTTGCTCTCCCCCCCCCTTGCGTGGGCTCAGCCTGCCATCTGGGGAAAGGGAGATGCCCCCAGCCCTCCTTCTTCTTCGCCGCCGCCGCCTGCCATCCGCCCGGCCTGCGCCCGGTGCCTCTTATTTATTCCAGCCCGGGAGGGTGGGCATTCTTCCACCGGCCACGGGGGGGGGAGGAGAGGGGGCGGGAGGGAGGCCGCCCCGATTGGGCGCTGGCGAAAGGCCCCCCGTCCGGCAAAAGTCGGAGGGAAGAGGCCGCCCGTGTCAAAGCGCCGCCGGGGCAGCGAGAGGTGCTTGGGAGCGGGCGCGGGCAGGGGGCCTCGGCGGCTGGGCGAGACTCCCCATCTCCGACGGTCTCCCCGAGAGGAATCCGCGCCGTGATGAGAGCTTAATTCGTTCCCCACGAGCTGCTTCTAGTGTTGGGAGGCCTCCTCCTTTTGGACAGTTTGCGAGAGAAAGAGAGAGAGAGAGAGGAACACACGCTGATATGTAGTAACAGGTGCTTCCAAGAAGCCTACTTGCTGTCGTTTTGTGTGAGGTTTTTTGGTTTGGGGCGGCCGGCGTCCGAGATTTGTTTTTTTGTTTTTCTCCCACAAGTCACCGACTTATTATACTATTTTCCTTTCCAAGAGAAGCGTAAAATGTGTAAAAGTAGAATAAGGTGAACACCAACTTACTAATTTTGAAAGGGAAAGAAAAGTCGTAGTTGTATCTTCCAAAAATAACTATCGTGGTGGTTCAGTTGAGCCCTTTATGGGACCTTTTTAAAGAAGTGTTTTAGTCTGCAAATATGTAAGTACAGGGTTTTTTCCCCGTTTGTATGTGACTTCTAGTGGACTGTCCCATCTACGCAATCGTATTTGCGGACTGGTTTCGTTCTTTCACCCCTCCCTGTGCTTTGTTCTGTTGCCTATT